GGACTGAGGGTCTTTGCTTCAATTTTGTCCGACATATAAGATAATATTCCAGGGATATTTGTAGAGATATTTAATGTAGTGGTTGCCCCTTACCTTCTACATCTTTATGCCGTTGGTCAAATTTTGGTTCATCCGCCTTCGGGGTTGATTTTTCAACCCCAGGACAAAAGGTGCCCTATCACTTACCAACTCATCCGCCCTAAGCCTAAGTTGGGGACTGCTTATACCGGCAATCACTCAATGAAATTTTCGTCATATCTGGCTACCCTCACTTAGTTTAGCCTGCATTATCAAGAAACATCTCCCGTCTACGACGCTCGATGTGGTTGTTCCAATAAAAGGGACTACCTCTATAACACAACCCTACAACCCCCTTTCATATACCATTGAGGTTCATTTTACACTCTTTTACACTCAAATCCCTATATATTTAAAGGGTTAACCTGATTGCCTGACGTTAATCAGTTTTTGTTTATTTTATAAATAGTGTAAGTAGTTATTTTTCTTAGCGTTGTTTTATCTCACTTTTATTTTATTTGCAAATGTCATAAAACATTTTCATTATTTTTCATTAATATCATGTTTGTTGTACGTTGGACGTTGACTCAAGATGAATATTTCTAATGTAGCTGTAAATTTTAATGTAGTAAAAGTCGCTATAAAATAATTAGAAGACACCGAGTATAAAATCTATATTCTCCCTTGCCATAAACTTATAAAAGAGATAAAATAAAAATACCTACTCGAGCGATGACAGAATACTGCACTCACTATTAGATACTCAATACAGCGCATAGCATCTTCTAAAATCTGTTAAGAACAAATTAAGTGCGTTGAAATCCAACTGTTATCGAAACGCTACGCGCCAATGTAATCAACCTTTCATTGCCTGGTTGCTTTGCTTGTATGTTGTTTTCGCGTATTTTCATACCACAGTAACTAGATATATTTTATAATTATGCTGATAAAAAGGATTTTTGATCTCAAAATCTAAAATTAAACTATGAAGTGTGCAATTAATTCCACCTAGTCTCGTTCTAAGAATCCGACAGAAACTTTAATAATGTTTCGGCAAACATCTGGTTGTTCTTGTTTGACTATTTTTTGGTTAAATTGTATGTATGTCATTATATCACAAAGCATTCATAACTACTCAAAAGGATGTTTTTTCATGAATTTCTTTTATTGGCAATGAATAAACACTTAATTAATAAATTGTTATAATAGAGGAAATGAATCCAATGCAAAGAAGCTGAAAGAATGCTGAAGAAATGGGAAACAAAGTATCATCATCATCATTCTTCCTTCACTACCCTGGGTGGGTCCTAGCCTTCCCAAGAATTTCTGTCTTCATCGATGATATCAATGAATCTTGTTCTGGATCTTCCTCTTCTTCTCTGATCAATGGGTCATTCAATAAGAGTTGTTCTAGTTGAGTCATTTTGTTCCATCCGCGTTACATGCCCTCTTTACCTCAGACGTCCTATCTTAATCTTCCGTACACACACAAGGTATTTCTTGTACATCATACACACACTGGGGTGTGTCATAACCCACCCGGTAATTTTTAAGAAATATCGAAAATGAAACAACTTTGAGATATTCCTAGGGGTTCTATACAAGCAAATAATATTGTTGTAAAAAAATTATTATTTTACCGAAGAGAAAGTCCCATTTCATTCAAAAAACTTGCTTGAGCCAAAACTCAACATTTGTCAATACAAATGAAAGTCCTGGGTTAAAATAAAATTATAAATAACTTATTAGTTTTATATCAGGGACAAAAACAATAGAAACGATGAGAAAGTATACTCAAACTTCAAACTCAAAGGTCAGTACAGTCTATATAAATTAATCCTCCATGTTCATTGCATATAAGAATATAACATTTTGAACATGACTGTTTTGTTTACCGATTTCTAAGGGCAAAACCACACCGTGCACTTTTTTTGCATAAATTGTACTTGCAGAATACTTCTAATCAGTTTCTCATCGTTTCTCATCAGTTCTAATCATTTCTCAATCATAAAATTTTTATTTCAAATCCTTTATAAAAGGTATAAAATAAAATGCCCAAACGGGCTATCACTATTACATTACAGAACGTTTTCGGAATGTTAATTTCGAAAACTTAGTTGTTCTCAACAGGTCCTCGAAGACCTTCGTCTCAGGACCATATAACCTTTGCAGGGTCATACGTCGCCATGTTACCAATTCCAACGGTAACTTAAACATCCTAATTTGTAATGATATATAATGTAAAACAACTATAAATTTATAACATTTAACGGGTTTTGACCATATATTTTGATGGCTCATAGCATGTATACCCCACGTTCTGTAATGTAATTGTGATAGCCCGTTTGGGCATTTTATTATATACCTTTTATAAAGGATTTGAAATCAAACGAATACCTACTGAGAACTTCTCTTGTTCGAAATTTTGAATAAGTCAGTCTAAAATTGTATAAAACCATTCCATTTGGTCAAGCATCCCATCAAAAAATTGCATTGGCCACCTTCTACCTTACTGTTGTAAAAGTGAGCATAATTTATCGAAAGTGTCGGTGTCGGTATCTTCTTTCGTATTATTTTAATCCAAATTATTATGGTTTTTTTTTGTATCTTTATCAACGATATTTGAGTAATGCATTGTGGATAATAATACAATCTTAGTACGTAAGAATAATACTATAAGATAGTCAAATGCAATATTTTGTTTTTTTTTTTAAATTTTTTTATAATTATGTTTATTTACAATTTACATCACCACAGAGTATTAAGTAAATGTGTAACAGATTTTGGACGTGAAGGAGTGATGTCCAATGATGTCCCACCTTATTCTATTTTGGTTTAGTTTTGAAGTAGGTCTTGGGGCCAGGTTCTATCTCTTCTTCTTGTGGCTAGACCACTGTTGAACAATTCCCTTATTAGCTCATTTTCATGGTGAATGATAGGTTTATTTTGTGACTCCGTGGCTCGATGGACTTTTCTCTGATGAAAGAAATCTTTAAATCGTAGTAAAGTGTTTGGATACTTACGTACGATGGTGCATCCACTATCGATCTTATCACTGGAATCTTTGGATGATATTCAGCGACGATTGTTTTGCACAGCCTCATAGGTGTAGTCCGTATAACCAGATAGGTTTGAGTATGGCTTTGTATAGAAGAATTTTGTTTTGGATATTAAGTTTTGATTTACGTCCAAAGAGCCAATACATTTGCCGGAATTTTAAGTCGAGCTGTCTTCTTTTGATCTGGATATGTTTCTTCCAAGTCAGACGTTGGTCAAGATTAAGGCCAAGTTATCTAGCATCTGTTGTTGTTATCTTTAGATTTTCCATACTTACAGGTAAGCATATGTTGTGGCGGTTGGTAAATGTTCCAATCACTGAGTATGTTCAGATGATGTTGCACGTTTTGTGAGGCTTGTATGGGATCTTCATTTACAGCTAGTAGTTTTACGTCGTCACCAAAGAAAACGATTGTAGTATTATTAGTCTCTGGTATATCGGCTACGTAGAGTGAGAAAAGCAGCGGCCCTAGAACACTACACTGCGGGACTCTGGTGTTGATAGGACAGAGGTTGGATTGTTGGCATTTAAATTTTACAGAGAAATATCTATTTGAAATGCATTTAGACTTTTGGTTACGTTTTCCCATTTTCAGCAATTCGTCCCACTGGGTACCGGCTTATTTATTTTCTATTTTATTAAATACTGTAGTAAGCATATTAAAATTTCAAAATATTCAAATTTTTATACCGAGTTCTTAGTTATAAGAAAGAACAACGTGGTTTGATTAAATCATCTTTTAAAAGTTATCTACATTTGGGAACTACAATTCTCAGTACATCAATAGTCCCTGACTTTTGTATTAAGATCACCAATTAAAAGCATTATTTTTCTTTCCGTATTTTTAAGAGCTTTCTTTATGTCATTATAGAATTTTTAAATTTGGTCGACTTCACTAATCGATGTTAAGGTATAAAAATAAAGAGTAAGAGTCTTTCTGATTCCAAAAACATTTTTCTACAGGATTTACCCACACATCATTCTCATCTCGATGTGTAGGTTTAATCAAAAGGTCAAATGCTTACGTATTGGAATTACGCGTAACAAATAATTCATTTAATTAATTTTGGAACAATTACAAACCAATTTTTAGAACAGAATAATATGTAAGTGAATTTGATTTTTACTTAATAGCATTGTTTTTGTAAGCGTGACAAAATTGTGCCACTGATAATTTGTCAATGTTCATTACAGATTTTTAGCTGTAAGCATCATTTTTCTATTTTTTTCTATATCAATTCTTGCATCGTCTCATTTCACGTTTTGCTGATTCATACGGACTACCCAATAAAAGTGAATTATGCCTATGCATTCTAATTTGAAGCTTACGACCCATCCAAGCTCTAAAGAAGAAAATTCAAATCAAATTCAGTCACATTTATTCAACACTAACATGAACGATAAATTTCACAAACGATTGGTTATATATCCCCTGTTACAGTTTACTATTTGTCTCAAAATTAATAAACACAGCATTCACAATCATCATAGTTATGCAGCTTGTTGTATCCACTACCGAACATAAGCTTCTCTTAATCGTTTCCTGTACTGCCGATCGTGTGCCGTATGAATCCAGTTTGTTGTGGCTCTCTTAATGACATTACCTCATCTTGTTATAGGTCTAAATCTACTTCTATTAGCATCAATCTTATGACGATACTCCAATATGCGTTTAGCACACTTGTTTAACCCAACATCTTTGATTCCTTCTCTGATTCTTATAGCTATAGAGTGCTGCTGAGTTACTCTAATATTGTCATTACCTCCATTACCTTTATTATTATTTACCACCAATCAGGTATTTATTTATTATATTGTTTAATACATTATAGTTATAGAGATTAATAATGAACACAACTTTTTATTTCAGATAAGAAGTGGTCCATTATGAATTAATAAATAATTTCACTACAACATAAACGATATGGACTCATCAACCCTTCCATACCAATCCCATTTCGGATATTCGTCTTCCGATATGAGTTGGTCCTACGCTTCCAATATTACACCGATGAAACAGATTGAAGGTTTGTATAATTATTTAGTACTGTAAAATTTAATTATAGATTTCTAAAAGGCTCTTAGCTTATTTGGAAAAAATTTCTATAGTTTAAAAAAACTTAATTACTTATTTTTATACCCTTTAGATAAAGTGGACCGTTTCTATCAAACTATTTCATTTTTTCTGAAATTTTCGAAAAACTGGAATTTTACTATTTGGAGATAGACCTCTTTCAAAAGTCCTGAAAGGTTTGTCTGTTTTAAGAAATCGATTTACATAATTATAAATTAATTCAGGCAAAGAAAGAATCCCCATGACTTTTCATGGCATAATAAAAATTATTAATTATTTATTGTAAAATTGTAGTAATACACCAAAATTTAAAATCTTGGGAAGAAAAGGAAACTATATTTTACGTTTTTATTAAAAATTTTATTGTAAAGGTTTTGATTCAACAAAATCGTAGGTATAACCACCTTCCAGACAAAGTTTGAATAATTTTATCCCAAATTTGTTCTTCTTGTTGGCAATATACTGCTTAAATTTTAGTCGCTCTTGAAAAGGCACTAAAGTTTCGTCAATGCACACGTTTTCCTTTGATGGCAGCCTTGAATTTATCCTTCAGTCCGCTAACCAAGGGAATGATCTTCTGCAACCGGTCATGTAAACGGTCATGCAAACGGTTATTTGTTGTTACTGAATTATCGTTGAAATGCAATATTTTCCACAATAACTCAAAGAGATTCCTTGACATTACTTCTTTGATATCATTTACATAAAAATCATTCTTTGACCAGTCTGAATCAAAAGATAGAAAATTACATAATTCTATCCATATAACTATACCCAGGAATCGTTTTATTTCGGCGATATCAGTGTTGTGCCACGCGGTAATACGTGAGCTTTTTTCTGCTTTATTTCCTGACACTGCAGGGCATAATAATTATTTATTTCTTCGACCTAAAAATAAAAATCAAAATCAGTTGAATAACATAAATTAGATTTACCATCAAAGATAAAAGACCATATTCAAAGATCACAAAAGATCGTCTACAAAATATTCGTAAAATTGAAAGGGCGATTTGTTGTAGAAGTTTTCGTGTAATTGTGTTTGAAAACCTGTAGAATTACATATAGTCCTTAAATGCAATTGTCTGTAAATTCTCGCTGTTAATCGGCCCCCAGACAATAGCTTCATTCATTGCATTGGATACTATTGTCTTCTTCTTCTTCTTCCTTCTAGTATGTAGGCTTTAAAGCCAGTTTCTTCTTCAATATTATCCTCCTAAATTGTTTAAATTGTCGCACCATCTTTTTAACCGTTAACCATACAATCTCGAGTTTTTGTTTCCTGAAAATTTATTACGAAAGTAGTATGAAATATACAGTGACCTTTACCAAAAAATATGAATATGTACCAATTTTTTTCTACCATATCATGCTACATGCATAATATAACACGAGTTGGTCAAAGCGATCATTACATTTTCATCAAAATTAGGTTCTCCAAAATACACTCTATTGGAAGAACCTACCATTTCAGAAATTAAACACTGTTATCGTCATGATACCACACAGACCCCAAATGAACTTTGCCGCTGGCTACTCTGAGCCAGAGCAATACTCGTATCGGAGTGGCTTACGAGTGCACCAACTGAAAGGTAGATGGCGCGGCCAGGCATAAATGCTAACTTTGCAGTTTTACATGGATTTAAAAAGTACTGGGGGTCTGCCCAGGGGTTCCAGGCCAGGGAGTAGGTGAAGATAAGAGTAGCAATGGCTAGAAACGCCTTCTTTAAATTTAGTAAATACTTTCTTTGTCATGAAGTTTCTTTATCCCCTAGAATCCAGGTCTTAAAATGCTACATAATATGACCAATCCTAATGTATGGAAATGAGAAGAAACGTGTGGAAAGGACGTGTTTTTTATTTGTTATAAGTAAGCTTTGTTTTGCAAGTGATACTGTTATTAATTGGTTAAGACTAAGAAAACTTAGTTTTGTATTTCTGCAGTCAAAATCTTTTAATTCAGTTAAATCATTGACAATATTGGCCGATGGTGTGCAATTCAATCGTTTTTTATTGACTTGATTGAATACTGTAACAATGGCCACAAAAATGATTCTAAATGTATTGCTTATATAGTATCAAATTTTCATATTTCTAATGTTTATTGTTGAACATATATTCCAAAAATACTTACATTCTTTTAACTACGTAAAGTTCTACCAACCAGAGGGAAAAAGACGATTAAAGGCGTTGCGATGCCGGAGCAGTCAGCTAATTACCTCGCACTCGACGCAAAAGAATTTCTCTAAATCAAACGGTCTCATTAGTTAAACACATTGCATATTTGTAAGCCCGTCATTTGATTTATATTGGCCGAAAACCGTATTTATGTGCCATGAAATATGAGAAGATGATTAATAGCAGCTATGCTTTTTTAAGCCGATAGTAATTTAGGTGAAAAAAGAACGATTAGAGCGAAACTTCAATCTTGGCAACGAAATAAAGACCGGGAAATCCATGAATAATAAACGATTTTGCGTCCTTTCAAGTTTTGGAAACATAGTTTTCAATTTAACAGACAGTTGTCGTTTGTTTTGTGTTTATTTTCATGTATGTGTGTCAAAACTGCCTATCAGTAGGTATATCAAAATAAAATGTTACTTCCTCCTGTGACAGTTACGGTAGTATCAATATATAAGCCACAAACAAAAATTTGTAAATAGCATTTCATTAAGAAATAAATACTTCAAAACACTTGGGTGTAAATGAATTATTATTTTATTATTATAATCTTTTCATACCTATTTACAGTTGCCAATATATCTGTCTATAATATTTAGTAATGTAACAATAAATTGTTGGCTTCTTTTATTTCAAAGTAGGTTCGAAACAAATTTATTGATATGTTCATTTATATTTATTTTTCTAGAAACCTTTTTTTCCTTATTTATTTACCGCTTTTAATAATTTTTGTTGAACTTTTTGTTCCAATTTTTCTAATGATTCATCAACCTCTTCTTCTTTTAGTGCCGTCTTCACTAATGAAGGTTAGCTATAACCATTGCAAATTTATCTTTATCTTCTGCTTTTCTTAGAAGAGTTTGTGTGTCCAATCGTTAATGTTTTTCAGCCAGGATATTTGTCTATATACCAGGACATCTTTTTCCTTCGATTTTACTCTTCATAATCAGCTGCAACAATTCGAACTTATCATGTCTTAGTATGTGCCCCAAATACGCCGTCTTTCATCTTTTAATGGTGGTCAAAAGTTCTCTGTCTCTTACCATTCTGTGCAAAACCATTTCGTTCGTAATATGATCGGTCCATGGTATCTTCGAAATTCTTCTAAAAGCCACATCTCAAAAGCTTCCAGTTTTCTCATCAACATTAACAGTCCAAGATATAACATTTTACCATCCGATATCGGATTTGCAGATGGATTCTTTGGTTACTCAGTAATTTCCTTATCTTCAAAAAGGCTGCTCTTGATTGCTCTATTTTTGAGCGAATTTCTGATTTCGGATTCAGATCTTTCGTAATCCAGACTCTTAAGTATTTCATTTTGTCCACTTGCTCAATATCTTCATTTTTTATCTGGATCCTTGTAATGACATTACCCCTCTTACTGATAACCATTGTTTTTGTTTTCTTTATGTTTACTGTTAAACAAAACTGTTTCCCAATCTCACAAATTGTGTTTAGTAACGTCTGCAGGTCTGTCTCACTGTCAACGATAATGAATGTATCGTCAGCATTAACGGATGTTATTTATATTTTCACCATTTATCTTGATCCCTTCTGTACAGTTTTCAAGTGCTTGCGTAAATATATATATATATATATATATATATATATATATATATATATATATATATATAGTCCCAAGATTCCTAAGAGGAACATAGGGCTTCCACAAAGTGTCTCCAGCGAACTCTATTTCTGGCTAGTGCTTTGATTTCAAGCCAGGATTTTCCCATTTTTCTCCCTTCGTCCAGTACTGTCCTTCTCCAAGTTCCCTTAGGTCTGCCTACTTTCCGTCGGCCTTGGGGATTCCAATCCAGCGCTGCCTGGCAATGTCATTTGGCGGTCTACGGAGTGTGTGGCCCAGCCATCTCCATTTTCTTCGCCTTATTTGCTTTGTGACATTTTGTTGGTTGCTTTGGTTCCATAAATTTTCATTGGAGATTCGGTTAGGCCAAAATATACGAAGGATTTTTCGTAACGTTCTATTGATGAAAGCTTGTAATTGGTGTACTATGGGTGCTGATATCTTCCACGTTTCGCAGCCATACAGTAATACAGCTTTTACATTTGTGTTGAAGATTTTTAATTTCGTTTTAGTTGGGTAAATCCTGGATTTCCATATGTTGTTAAGCATGTTGTAGGCTTTGCGAGCCTTATTTATTCTTTCATGTACATCACGCTCTGTACCCCCATTACAGTCAATTATGCTGCCCAGATATACAAATTCCGCTACTCTCTCAATTTTCTGGTCGTTGATCATAATAGGTTGGTTGTTTCTGGTACCAAATCGCATTTCTTTGGTTTTGTTGATGTTTATTTCTAGACCAACCTTCTTTGATTCTTCTTGTACTTTGTTTACTTGGAGTTGCATGTCCTGTTTTTTATGTGCTAGGAGGCATATATCATCAGCGTAATCTAGATCTTCCAGTCTGTTTGTTAATCCCCAGTAAATTCCTCTATTAAAGTAGATTTGCGTAAATAACTCTTCGGAATATATATTAAATAGTAATGGTGAAAGTACACAGCCCTGTCTCACTCTTCTAACACATCCTCTCACTCCTTTAAACATAAGAAGAGCATGCAATATAGAAGACATAAATGGATGGGTGAAAAAACGAAAACAGGAGTGGAACGAACATAGCAGTAGAATGGCAGAGGATAGAATAGTACGAATAGCACGAGATAAGTCACCAAATGGACAAAGAAGTATTGGCAGACCAAGAACAAGATGGTGCGACAATTTAAACAATTTAGGAGGCTAATATTGAAGAAGAAACAGGCATTAAAGCCTACATACTAGAAGGAAGAAGAACAAGAAGAAGAAGAAGAAGAAAATCTTGATCCCTTCTGTACAGTTTTCAAGTGCTTGCGTAAATAACTTTTCGGAATATATATCAAATAGTAATGGTGAAAGTACACAGTCCTGTCTCACTCCTCTACTTATCTGTTGCGAATCCGTGCTACTTCCATATAATATTAGCACAGCCTGTTGGTTCTAATAGAGATTTCTCACTATGTTATTGTCATTTTTGTCGAGTCTCTTTCTCTTTAGACATTCCATGAAAATGTTATGTTTAACTTTGTCGAAAGCTTTCTCATAGTCTATAAACGCAACGAAAAGATCTTTTTGTTGGTCTCGACATTTTTGGGCAAGAGTTGTGAAACTATGCAGACTTTCCACTGTTCCGAAGCCGTTACAAAATCCAAACTGTCTATTACTCATCCGCTTCGCACTTTCTAAATATTCTTGCATGTATAATCTTTAAAATGTTTTTAATAAGTGTAACATTAAGCTAATTAATCTATAGTCATTACAGTGTTTTGGGTTCTTGGTTTTTGGTAGCGGAACAAAGGTCGATAGCAGCTATTCTGTGTGTATCTCACCAGATTTGTATATGTTGTTAAAGAGTACAGTTCTTCTTCTTCTTCTTTCTACTTTATTAATAGGCTTAATGCCTGTTTTACTTCGGTTTTGAGCCTCAATTGACGTTGTCTGACCATTTTTCCCTCCTTCGTCCCAATGATCTTCTTCCATTTGGCGATTTGTCTCTTGCTATTCGTACTACTCTATTTTTTGTCATTCTTTCGATGTGTTCATTCGATTCCACTTTTCTTCTTTTGGACCACGCGTTTATTTCCTCTATACCACATCTCGTTCGTATTTCCTCACTTCTTACTCTGTCTCTTAGTGTTTGGTTTGTTATTTTTCGTAAGACTTTCATTTCTGTTGTTTTCAGCAGTCTTTCTGTTTTCTTCGTATCTGCTCTTGTTTCCGCTGTGTACGTCATTATCGGTCTTATTGTTGATTTATATATCCTGGTTTTCGTTGTGAGGTATTTGTTTTTCCAGATTGTGTTGTCGAGACATCCTGCTGGTCTGTTTGCCATGTTCACTTGTTTTTGTACTTCTTTCACTTTTCCGTAGCTTGAAGGTTTTATTCCCGAGTATTTAGTTTCCATCACTTGTTCTATTATTTTGTTATTTACGACTATTTTACATCGTCTCGGTTCCGCTGATATCACTATCGGTTTAGTTTTCTCTGTTGAGATCACCATGTTGTATGTGAGCGCCATATCTTCGAATTCTTTAATTAATCTTTGTAGGTCATCTTTATTTTCGGCTGTTATTATGGCGTCGTCGGCGTAGCATATTATCCTTATTTCCTTTTCTCCCATTCTATATCCTCTTCTTTTTTTAACTTTCTTTATGAATTCATCCATTATCAGATTAAAAATTAATGGGCTTGGCGAATCTCCTTGTCTAATGCCAGTTTCATATTTGATAGGTTGCGATAGTTTTCCTTTACGTCTTACCATAGCTATGTTATCTTTATATATATTCTCAATGGTTTTTACTAAATCCAGTGATATTCCCTTTTCATATAATAAATATATCGCGTCCCGAATTCTCATTCTATCAAACGCTTTCTTCAAATCTATCAGACACATATATGCTGATTTGTTGTATTCCAGCAACTTTTCTTTTATTTGTCTTATTACAAAAACTGCGTTCGTGCATGATCTTCCTGTCCGAAATCCTTGATGTTCCTCTTGCAGATATATTCGTTCGTTTATTTTTGTCGCTGTTATTCTTTTTGTCAATTTGAGTGTTGTATTTAAAAGGTTTGCTCGATAATTATTGGGGTCTTTCTTATCTTCTTTTTTGAAGAACATCACCATGATCGCTCTCCTCCATTCATCTCGTATTCTGTTCGTGGTGATTATTTTATTAATAAGAAGTTGCAGTTGTTGTACAAGGTAATCACCTTCATATTTTAAGAGTTCATTTGGTATTTGATCTTCTCCTGGTGACTTTCTGTTTTTTAATTTGTTTATTCCTTCTTTCATATCGTTTTGGAAGATTTCGGTCTTTTCCTCAGTTATTATATTTGGCGTTTCTTGTAAAGGTTCTTCGTTTTGTTTTTTAAACATTTCTGTCAGAAAGGCCACCCATGTATCCTCTTGTATGTGTTCTATTTCAACTAGTTCTTTCATTTCGCTTCTTTGTTGTCTTATGAAGCGCCATACTTTCCATATAAATCCATCTCTAGTCCTTTTGTGAATCTTTCCCAGTAATCTATTTTTGTTTCTCTTACCAATTGATGAGTTTCAGTTCTTATTCTTTTATATTCTTCATATGATTCATTCGTTTTTTCTGACATATATTTTAGGAAATCTTTCTTTTTTTGGTGACATTTTTGTTTAACCTCTAGTGTAAACCAAGGTGTTTCGTTGACCACTTTTTGTTTATTAATTTCGTTTAACTAGTTCAAATTCTCTATTTTTTATGTAAGATTGATGTTCACTTATTCTAACATTTAATGGCCTTGATGTTTCACCTAAATAAAACTGATCGCATTCACAAGGTATTTTATAAATGCAATTCTTTGATAAATAATTTGATAAATCTCAAATATGTAAACACGCATGGGATAATGAACATAGGGTTCAATGGAATAATTCAAATGTAGTCCTAAAAGAAACGAATGGTAAAAAAAGAAAAATCAAAGAAGCGGCTCTAATTATGCTAAATGAGGCCAATTGTGTCGCAAATTCCTCGGCAGAATGTAGTAGGATCTGGTTACCAATATTGAAAGAGGAAGTTATTAATAAGAAAATACCAGTATTAGTAAGTCAGTAACATATAGAGGATACATCATTTATGTTTTTTAAATAACGAAACATATAAAATCAGAATTTTGGTGTTTATTGAGGGTAAACTAAATGCACGAACAAATACTTACCGTATCGGGATAGTATTATGAGGTAGTTTTCCTGATTTTTCCCTCATAATTTACTATGGAATCACTAAGAGGAGAATTTTACTGTCATCATATCTTGTGTTTGTCTTTTTAAAGACGAATTACATGCTATGATTTTTTTCTGACGGATATTCTCAAGTTAAAGTTGATTTCATGTAAATGAATGAACTATCTTATAAGTAAAGTCGTCCCAGGAGCGCAACTCAACAATATTGGCAATATCATTTTAAAGTCGTCTACTTTAAAATGCATAATGTATATCTGAATTGTCAATATAAGTGAGTCTGACCAATGTGTATATCAAGGACCGTTTTTATAGTTGGGACATTTTGTTCTATCCGCATTACATGCCCTATCCACCTCACGTCCTATCTACGAATTTTACAATATCTGGTTCTTGGTATATTCTATAAAGCTCGAAGTTGTATTATCTTTTCCACACTCCATTTTCATTCACCGCTCCATAGATTAAATAGTACTTTTCTTCCGAAACATCTAACATGTTCGCTACTTTTTGTTGGAGTACAGTTTTCTAAACCGTACGTTAGGACTGGGCATATTATTGTTTTGTGGAGCTTTATTTTTGACTGAGCCCAAAAAAGCATCTGTTGGCCGTGCAAATTCTGCGATAGTATTATTTTCCGTGTTCTCAGTTCACTGCATCGATGACGTCGTTTTCTACAACAAGTGGTCGTAGAATTTTTAGTAGCATGCTTATTTGGGATAGAGACCAACAAACTATTCCTCTAAAAAAGCATATGCTACGAAATTTCGCAACCCTAGATAAGATCATAATTGCCTTCCAAGTATATTCCAGACATGTTCTATGGTATTAAGGTCAAGACTTCGTGCTGGCCATCCTGTTATCTAAAGGTCAACTTCCAAGAGGACATATCGAACCATTCGGGCTGCATGAATTCCAGCATCATCGTGCATTCGCAAAAAATGTGGACTATTATAAAGAGCATAAGAAAATACATGATCCTGAAGAATGCCTAATATGTAATGTTCAAAAGTAAGATTTTCGTTATTTATTACCGCCAAATCCATGCGTGCTGCTAATGAAATGCCTACCCATACCAGAAACGAGCCCCCACCAAAATGGAATTCTTTGTGCTACATTATGCTTATCGTGCACTTGGACTTATAAAAACACATATTCATCTATCACTTGTATGCAAGCAAAAACGTCAGTCATAGAAGACGAATAAAACTCGTTCTCAATCAGCTTATTTCAAATTCACCTCCTAGTTGCCAACATTTAACCACGCTCTACGGTGATTCCTGGTTAACGCTGGACCTCAGACAGCAATATGAAGATGCAAACTTGTTTTTAGAAGTCATTGTAGATCTGTTTCCAGACTGATTTGGATGCTAATTTTATTTTAAAACTCACATTGCAACTGTCGGATTATTACAAATCGTTGTAGTAGAGCGGAAAGCATTAACAAATAATCTTGAGCTGGAGTAGTGACGTGATATCTGGCTTGTCCAGCTCTTCTGCTATAAACTCTATATGGTATACAACATAATATTAGAAATATCTGATTAAATCAAAGCTATAAATTAATTCAGTTATTTTGTTCTAGCTTGTCTCCAAAGTGCCGGAAAAGACCGAAAAGCTTACTCACCTTTAGACCAAGCCGACGCATTATCACTGGATGAAAATGATGCAAGTAGAACAGAAAATAATAACAGAACGACAGCTCATAATAAGAACCACTCCAAGTAAGAATTAATTAAAATATGTTATTGTCTTAGTGATTATAAAATTGTCTAAACAAATTAATAAATGATAATTAAGTATTCGAATTATTTGTCCATTATATCTTTTATCCAAATAATGGATTTAGAGTTAGTGGTTCGGAATGTGGAACCTTTTTTCTGTGACATAAGACTGTAAATAACGCTTTTACAAACTACATGCAAAGTATGACGTCCTCCATGGTTTATTATGGTTCTATATCTGTCGTTCGTAGATAAAAGGAAATTGTCGATGTCTCGACAATTTGTCGATGTCAGACGCTTTTGGAAACTAAATGGCGCCGGCGTATATATGTTATTCATATGTGAAGTAATTCTTCGTTGAAGCATGTCCCATACATGTTCGATGGCATTCAAGCATGCTGGCCAAGGCTACACATCAATACCTTGGTTGGCAAGCCAATCTATTACTGGGCGTACGACATGTGGACGGGCATTATCATGCATGAGGTGGAAGTTTTGACCACAGCACCAGCAAATGGACGAACGTTAGGTTGAAGAATGGTGTCAAGATACTGCTGAGTTTTAAAAAAGTGGTCTGAAAAAACAAGGTCTACCTTTCTACCTTATAAAATAACCATACCACCTCTATGTGTGTAAATTTCATGGACATGTGTTAACCGTTCCACATTTCCAGATCGTCTCCACTCTTTTAGTCTACGAGAATCTGGATGAAATCCAAATCTAGATTCTTCGGAAAATATAATTGTAGCCTAATCATTTACATCTCAGTTTTGATGTTCTTAACGCCACTCTAATCTTGCAGCGCGGTTGTCTTGGAAGATAGGTGAGGATCTCAATGGCCTTCGACTGTAGAGATTGGCTTCATAGAGACGATTTCCTACACGGTCTGTGATTACCTGGTGTGCCCATTGCAAGTTGCTAACCAATTTAAAAGAATACAAAACATATAGCTTGACAATTCCCTTCCATTATCTTTGGTCATTGGTTCTTATTTTCCCATCAATTTAGATTTTACATCGTAGTGGGTATTTAGATGTTGTCATATATTTAGTTTTTTCTGCTTATATTATCATATTGTATTTCTTGGCTGCTGTATCGAAGATGTGTGTTAATATTTGGAGTTCGTCTTCTGTCTCGTCGATTAATGCGGCGTCGTCTGCTTAACATAATATTTGCATTTCTTTTTTCCTCATTCTGTAACCATGACCTGTATTAATTCTAAAACGATATTTTTCTTTATTTTTGGGCATAATAGGAACTCGCTCCTCTGCGCTCATTTGTTATATAATAATAACAATAATAATTTGCTACGTCCGGATGTTTTAGTTTGTGAATCTTTGTTTTTTCTTTCTTTTTTCTAATCCACTTTTTTAGATTGAAGAATCTTTCTTTAAACCAATACTTAACCAAATAGTGATAACTGTTTGCTCATCTGAAAGATCTAATATCTAAAAGGTTTAAACAGTGTCTTGTATCAATTACTATATATGATTTATTTGGTTTATCATTTTATTATCAGGAGATTTTCAAGTTCCCGTATTTATGTATGCCTTTGTAGCGAAATCATGTCCCACCTATTACCATATTCTTGATCACAGCAAAATCGTGTAGGCTCTCTTTACCTATGGTAAGCGAAAATATGTTTTTTTTCCGACTTTGGCATTAAAGTCATCATCATCATCATCTAGCCTCCTCAAGAATTTCTCCCCAGTGGCCCCATGCATTGCCTTCCTCCGCCTGGCATTTAAGTCTCTTGCTAATATTTTAACATCTTTGTTGGGCACTTACCTTGCTCTTGAACTAGTGGCTCAGAGAAGAAGTCTTCTTTAGCATCCTCTTTCTCTTTATTTAACTTAACCTTAAATTTTTTTAGATTTGTTTCATCGTCATATACATTTGAAAAAGGAAGGTAATGAAAAATAAATTCAGTAAACTTTCACTTTTGATGATGATTTTTTATTTATTTTTGTTATTTTTTCCTTATTTTATTTTTTATTGATTTTTACTGTCTTGTTAACTTAGTGTAGGTTTAAGTTCTGGTTTTGTTGCTTTTCTTTGGTTACTTGTTGATCCTACTTCAGTTTTAATTTAAATTACCTTTCTTGTCTGTTTGTTTGTTTCGTCCTTAGTTGCTTTTCTTGATGCTACAAATAGAGGGTGAGATGCACTGGATTCCATGTTCATAAATCTTAAATATTTGTATGTACTTTATATAGTAACGTTTGTTCTTCATAAATATTAATTAATTGACTCATTAATAACTTAAAAACATTTACTCTGTTTATGTAAGTAAAGTTTTAAACAAGCGAAACCGTTAACCAAAACAAAGGTGTCGTTGTACTATTTGTAATAGTAACCTTGACATTGACTCGTTTTACAAGTACTTACTTTATCGTTTAATATTTCTTTCATGAACTAAACTACGATTTATATTTCGAGAATGGATTTGCTGAAGGAGGAATAATATTGCCCAAGATTTTGACAGACTAACGATCTTTTTTATTTAGCTGGAGCTTATTTTTAGCTCAGGAATAAAGTGTATTTAATGATGGAATGTTTTAAAAGATCTGTTATTACTCTTATATAATGCTTTATGCACTCTAGATTTACAGAATATAATACTAGTATCTAAAATTAAGATTCCTCTTACTTTTACTTACTTATTTATCATAATTGATGGATTCGACCGTTACTTTATGGAAATTCATTTTATGTAACAATAAAACACTGAAAACTTTGTTTTCAAACTTCCACAAAATTTATTTTAACTTTTATCACTACAGCTGCTTCGGCTGATTGCCTTTCTCAAGTTATCTATTTTTGGCTTGCGTTTACACTTTATACTCTCTAATGAAATATATTGAGGAGGGGAGAACTGTTTGTCTCAAGTTGGTCATTCAGAATTATATCTGTGTTTTTTAATTTGTTGATTTCCATAGATTCTAACAAAGATAGCTTAAGACCTTTATTTTGAATGTGAAGAATTTTAAATTTGTGAATAAAAGAATTATTATGATATAGAAGGTAAAGTGCTTATGTAAAATCCGTTTTTCTACTATTGAAAGCCCTTTTATGTTCTGCTATTCGTTTATTAAAGTTTCTACCAGTTTGACCGATGTATGATTTTGGGCAGTCGCCACATTTAAGTTTGTACACACCACTATCTAAGTGTTTTTTATATTGGCTCTTGTTGTTTTTAATATATTTGCCTAGTTTGTTATTTGTTCGAAAAGCTGGTGTTATTTCTTTCTTTTTTATGTGTTTGGCTATTGTTGTTGATATTTTGCCTGTATATGTAATCGAGCAGAAGGTACTGGGTTTTTTCTCTGGTGGTGGAAATACTAATTTTAGGGCTTTCTTGTATAGTTTTTTATTTAACATTTTATTAATTGTTTGTTCGTTGTATCCGTTGTTTACTGCTATTTGCTTAATTATATTTAATTCTGTCTCAAAGTTGTATTTTGACATCGGAATTTCTGTTAATCTATGTAACATACTATGATATGCTGCCAGTTTATGTTGTATTGGATGGGATGATGAATTATGTATAGTCGTGTCAGTATGGGTAGGTTTGTGTCACAACCTTCTGCTTTATATTTTTAGCGTATCTGTGGTCTTACTTTTGTTCCTATGTTTTTCTACTTCTACTCTTTTTAGATATATTTAGTTCTGGTAAAAGTTTTTGACCTTTTGACAGAGTCGTCTAATCTCAATATTCAGTGCTTTATAAATTTTTTTTTCGTGCCATGCTTGTTTTCTTCAGTAATTTTCTTTCCTGAAGGTCAATCCAGTTACCTATTGGTTTCTTCTATCTTTTTATCACTTCGATCTTCTCTACCATCTTTTAATACATGTGTTGCTTTTGGTTAGATTCTGTTAGGTGTTGTCTAGTCGGTAGTAATCTTACTTTTGAAAAAAGTATGACAAACTGTGAGAAAAAAACTTTAACATGTCAGTCACAAAAATGGTCGTGGACCATAATCTTAACGGTTAGACAAAATAATTAATACTACTACTAGCTGATAAAAACGAAAGATTAAGTAAGAGTCTTATATAGTCTATTAATAATTTTCTTGATTTCTATAAAGAATCAAAAGAAACTTGAATTTATAAAGAAAACGTACAGTAAATATTTTTATTGTTTCAGTTCCAATACAACTTCTCCTGCCTTGGCTAACGCTGGTGCAATATTAGAAATGAAACATCTGTGGGATGAATTCCACAGTTTAGGAACAGAGATGATCGTTACGAAAGCTGGTAGAAGAATGTTTCCAACCTTTCAAGTAAAGCTTTGTGGACTGGACTTGCATTCGGAGTACATGTTGATGATGGATTTTGTGCCTGTAGATGACAAAAGATACCGATACGCCTTTCACAGGTTGGTAATTTATTGTATCGTTGTGTCCATTAAATTTTTCTTCTATTTTACATCAACTTGCACACTGATTTTTCTGCTGATATGCTCTATTGTTACGATAGCCTTGCTACGCTCCTGATAAAATATACTCGACGATTCATGCTGCACGTTTCCGATGATTCGAGTTGTAGGAGCAGTGCTCTAGCGGCGCTGAGTAAAGCGAAAACATATAAAGATACATTAAATAATAGAGAATCAGTCGATGATATTAATTTGTACAGTTAACTAAATAAATTGTATAAATTAGTTGTGTTTTTAGAGTTTAAAGACTATAAATTAATTACAATTAACATTACACTATTATTGCAATATTGCACTTTTCGGTTCAATATCTTATGTGTTCTTAAGTTTTATTTCTCTTGACAGCTCCGGATATAGATATAATAACTAATAAGACAACACAAGAACTGGTACAAGAAATAAAATACTAAACCAGACGATAGAGGATGTAAAATATGTGATACAGGAACTGAAAAAGCGGCTTTCAGAATTCTGCGGCTGAATGTTGGTGTCTTCTAGGCCGCTTTGAATTTTACTATTCTAAAAAGACCAGTGGTGCACCCAGGGGGTTTTGGGGGTTAAAACCCCACTAGGACCCTATTCTGACATTGTTACTCACAAATTTTAAGGACTCAAAATGGAGGTAGCATCATAAAAAAATATCGGTATCCAACAAAAACCCATCCCTAGAAGAAAATTTTAGGTGCGCTTCTGAAAGAGACTATCTCCCGACTAGCATTTTCTTCTTTATTGTTTGGGCTGTCGTCTCCTTTGACCACTTACTATTTGTACGCCCATTTTCTTTTTTTTTATTTTTTCAAGGTATCAATTTCTTTTTGGATTTACATAGTCTTATTTTATTATAGTTCCAGTTGGGTAATAGCCGGAAAAGCAGATCCTGTATCGCCTCCTCGGATACACGTTCACCCTGATAGTCCTGCTACTGGAGCTCAATGGATGAAACAAACTGTGTCGTTCGATAAACTGAAGTTGACAAATAATCAGTTGGATGACAATGGCCACGTAAGAGTTTTTTGTACTAAATAATTGATATATACTACTTAATCAGATAATATTTTTAAAAAGGTGTAAAACATCACATTCATTTTATTTATTTTTATTTGTTTTTTTTTTATTTCAGATTATACTAAATTCCATGCATCGATATCAGCCACGGTTCCATATTGTTTACTTACCTCCAAAAAATTTAAGTTCTGTAGAAGATAATTGCAATGAAAATTTCAAAACATTCGTTTTTTCTGAAACATCATTCACAGCTGTTACAGCGTACCAAAATCATAGGGTAAGTTAAAATTTATCTGTCCGTCTTTTTAATCTTATAAACAATATTATGAACTATTTTCTATTTTCTACTAACATCTCTCTAATATACAGAGAGTATTAGTATACCATATCAACAACATCACCTACTTGTTGTAGATGGACATCTCAATAGTGTTTTTATAGTACATGGAAAAAGCTCTAATAACAGATTTCTTGCTCATAAAGCTAGAGTCAAGATAACAACCTTCTGTTCAATAATTGGTTATTTTAATAGCATCTTAATTTGAATCTTATATGATGTGTATTGTTTCAGATAACTCAACTTAAAATAGCAAGTAATCCTTTTGCGAAAGGATTTAGAGACTGTGATCCGGACGACAGGTAATATATATTTTTTATAAAACAATTCTTGTTAACTAGAAATAAAATATGATCTTAATTAAAAAGTTATAAAAAAATCTTATTACCACTAAATGATTGGAAATAAATGTTTTCAATATTAGTACGAGTATGGAAAATTCTTTAATATTAGTACGAATAGTACGATCGGTTTTTATAGTTTCCTAACCTCATTGCCTAATACATGTCCATAAAGATCAGAAAACACAGTTGCCTTTTTCTTAAACAAAAAAACCTAAAAAGACTTGTGGAACTTGGACATTACGTACAGTGTCAAAATAAAATCAACATCAGAAGAACACATCTTGTAACCGACGAACCATAACCACATTAGAAATTAGAGTGTATTAAAAAATGTATCAGTCTATTACCTATTGTATACTTTTTACACACTTTTCTCATTCGACAGCAAAATTCGTGACAAATGGTAATTTTTCCTCAGAGGTCAGTTCGATTTCCTTTTCAGAGCGATTTTAATTATAGTATTAATTATTAATTTGAAGCTTGTTTGCAATATCTACATGAAAAACAAAAATGACACGTGTGTATAAGGCCCATTATTTTTTGTTTTAGTCTTCTTTTTAGATTTGATGATGTTTGAAACTAAACTCATTAGTTTAAAGATGATTACATATACTCTGGATTTATTGAAGTATTGCTATAGATTGAAAGACTGCTATAGTTTTATTGTCGTTATGTGAATTTTTCACAGCTTGTAGTGTTCCATATAATTCAGCAGTATAGATACTGCAATTGCTAGAGAGTTGTAACAGCTCAGCCAACACCTTCTTCACTCTTAGACGCGTCTGAGTAAAGGATCTTATCGAAGTTGCATTGATGTAGTATTTCATAGAATCTTTGTTTGATAATGGAAGATGATATTTCTCTCTTATTATATTTGGATTATTTGATATTGAGATTCGGAAGTTTGCATATCCATGGAGGGGAGTGACCCTGAAGAGGGTAGTTTACAGATATTATCTAAATAAGGAATTAACATGTGTATAGTGGATCGTACCATTGTAGAATTATTTCTAACTGGTAATTATCTGTTAAAGATGAGATTTCTTGTGGGATTTGTGACATTAGCTGAAACCCCAGCGAAAAACAGCAGTAGAACTAGTTGTCGTCTTAGATGAAATATGAAGTATTCTACGTGAATTCTTTCCACCGAACTGACTTTGAATACTCCTAGACAGAGTCGAAAAGTATTCGACGAGTAATCTCGTGTCAAGTATTGCCAAATGTGCCGATTGAGGATTTTCAACTGAGGATGTACAACTTTTTATTTACTAAGAGTTATTATAGACTGGGAAAACTCTTTTGAGGAGGCGTCATCAACAAATCTTTGAATGACTTGCTTTCAATATTACTAAAACCGAAACCAATGTTTTTATTGCTCCTTTCGTCGACATACTAGAAATTTCGAAAATCCCTTTAATTAAAAAAGATTAACCCCTTAACTGGTGTTGTGGGGTCAGGTGGATCCCCAGTGCTTTTTAAATCCATGTAAAACTTTTGCAAATTTAGTATTTATTCCGCACGTCAAATGTGATTGTGAACTTGTGAACTTTAATCAAAGTATAAGGCGGTAGTATGATGAATAAAAAAGCGAGTTTAGTGATTGTGAGGACAAAGAATTTTTTCCAGAGAGTGACATAACTCTGATTCTGAGAAGGAAAATCAGGGGGACAATGCTGAAACATAAGAAAGTCAGGCTATAGGTGAAAAGAAGAGGTGCCAGAAACAACAAATGGAAAGTTGTATTTTGGTAAAAATTTATACAAGTGGTCTTCTGTTCCAGCCAATCCAGATTTGAATATTAGAACAAAAAAACACAATCTGGTAAAAGTCCTTCTGGAGTTAAAAGGAGCTGTAAACTGTGGTGATGTCTCTGATCCCTTAAAAATATGGATCCTTTTTTTACAGAGGATATGGAAAATGAAATAATTCTACGGACAAATTAATAGATACTGTTATTTCAAGATAAATTTAGCAGTTCTGATACAACAGAACTGAGAGAACTAACAAAAGAAGAATTCAGAGCGTTTCTCCCTATCTTGTATTACTCTGCAGATTTCAAGTCAAATAATGAAGACTTGCAAGAAATATTTTCAACAGATGGAATGGGACGAGACATATTCAGATACATTATGTCTTTTAAAGAGTATATGTATTGTTCGCACCAGAGAACACATAGATAGAGCATTTTGAGAACTTATTAACAGAGAGAAGAGAAAGGTTTAAACAGACAAATGAACAAGTGCAAGTAGAAGGAAGAATAGAACTATCAATAGAACAAGTGAAAGAAGCAGTTAAGGGAATGAAATTAAGAAAATCTCCAGGCTGAGGCGGAATACATCTAGAGTTGATTAGATATGGATCATCAAAACTGCTTGAAATGATTCGAAAATTATTCGAAAAATGCTTAAACGGAGAAGAAGTTCCAGAAGAATGGAGACAATCATATATCTCTCCAAGACACAAGAAAGGCACAAAAATGGATCCTAAAAACTATAGAGGGATCGCAGTGATTGCTACTATAGGCCGATTATATTCAAAAGTACTGAGAAACCTGATAGAAAATGATATTAAAGATAAACAACCCGAAGAACAAGCGGGATTTAGGGCCGGACGCTCCACTATGGATAATATTTTCACATTAAAAATTGCAATGGAAAAACGAGTGCAGAGAAATAGAGAAACCCATATAGCTTTAATAGACCTGGAAAAAGCATATGATAGTGTACCGATCTCCCAACTATGGATAGAAATATGGATAACTTGAAAATAAACCCAATTCTTATTAACGCCACTCAAAAATACTACGAACAAAACTTTGCAAGAATTAAAATGGGACAAGAAATCACCTCTCCTTTTCAAACAACAAAGGGACTAAGACAAGGCTGCTGTCTGTCACCCACCTTATTTAAAATCTATTTGGACAGATCCTTAGTGAAATGGGTAAAGATATGTAGAAACATGGGAATAACGGTGGAAGAAAACACGATATATACACTTTTCTTTGCGGATGACCAGGTAGTAATGTAGTAACAGATGAAATATGTGACCTAGTCTTGGAAGACGACAAAATCAAAGGCGTACAATCCTGCAAATATTTGGAGGTCATTTTCAATAAGAAGGGAAATAGCGCAGATGAAATCAGGGAAAGAATAAACAAGGGTAGAGCAGCGACCCGTGCCTTAAACTCTCTTCTCTAGCAAAAAACAATTCGACGAGAAACCAAAAAACACATTTACGGTAGTATAGTCCAAAGTATTACACTTTACGGTTCGGAAGTATGGGACGTCACCAAAGCTAATAAAAACAAACTTATGACGACACAAATGGATTATCTGAGACGAAGCTGCGATAGATCGAAACTAGAAAGAGTTAGGAACGAACAAATAAGAAACGAAATGAAAATGGAGCGAAATATCAATGATGACATAGAAAGAAAACAATTAATCTGGTTCGGACATGTTAAAAGAATGCCAGAGTACAGATGGCCTAAAAGAGTACTGGAATGGATCCCTCCTGAAAGAAGAAAGAGAGGACGACCACGGAGAAGTTGGCGCAACGATATTGATGAAGCAATGGCGGCAAGAGACTTGGAAGAGGCAACTGCATATGACAAAAAAAGATGGAAATTGGGGGCGGAGAAGCGGCGACAGCCGTAATCAATCCGTTATTATTATATATGTATTGTTCGCATGTCTAAGGTTTATTGACTTAATAGCTATTGTAAATATTTTCCTACTTCTGTTTTACTTTCTGTTAAAACTAATGATCGAACTGCAGCAGTGTCTTGGTTATTTAAGTGTTTTGTAAAAAAATTCCAAGACTGTTATTCTATGGGAGAACTGTGTTGTACATATTCCTTATGTACAATGTACATACCTAATAAACCTCGGAAATATGGACTGAAAATTAAGGCTCTAACAGACGCAAGTACCCAGTATTTCTATAATGGCTACATTTACTGTGGTAAGGAAAGTGATGGTTTTTATCGAACAAATGAGGAGAGATTTTTCATGAAACCAACACAAGCGGTGGTGAAACTGTGGTCATCCAATTGCTAATTCACACCGAAATGTCACAGCAGACAATTGGTTTTCGTCCATAGAAGTCATGGATGCATTAAAAACGAGGACTGACCTATGTTGGCACGCTCAAGAGAAACAAAAAGGAAATACCTATGCAGTTCCTTCCAAGTCGGAGTAGTGCTGAAGGATCCATTTATGCTTTTACAAATGACTACACTATAATTTCCTTTGTTCAAAAAAGGAAAGTCAGTTGTATTAATATCATTAATACACCACACCGAATGTGAGGACATAGAATCTGGTAAACCCGAAATCAGTTGCTTCTATAATGAAATAAAACGCGGTGTAGATGCACTAGATCAAAAATGTACCACATATTCTACTAACCGGCGAACTAGACGATGGCCAATGACTATTTTTTACAATATTGAATATTGCAGGTATCAATGCACACATTTTACATAAATATTATTGTAGAGATTAAGACTGTACAATTGTCGATTATAACGATATACCTAGGGAGCTTCGCATGGGTATCAGTAGAATACTAAAGAAAGCTTTACCTGAAGCAGAAAGGGGAGAATTAAATAATCAGAACCAGAAACTAAAGAGATATGGTATCTGTGATCGAAAAAATGACAAAAAAACAAAAATATTGTGCAGCAAATGTCCCCGACCCATGTGCGGCAACTGTAGGGCATATGTTTGCAAGAATTGCATTTAGAAAAATGTTACTTGTAAATAGTTCACAGTTTTGTTGATAATTAATTTTGTTGATAATTAATAAATAATGAAATTTTGTATATTTTATTTCCTTATTCTTTATATGAGATGAAAAAGTCGAGAAAAAACTGGCGATTTTAATTTGTATATTTCTTTTGTAAAAAATTATGTTCTGCTGTCAAAAAACCTTCAAGTTATACTGAAATAGTGAAT